AATATGTTATTGGTTCCTTACATAATCTTGACATGTCGTGGTATATAAAGCAAAAGTTTTAAAAGTGGAACATTGGGTTGGAGGGGCGTGAAACCGAGCCTAAAAAAGTGAAACATTAGGTCCAATGTTTAATTTTAATAATTAACAACATTAATCTTATATCATAATTATATCATTATTAAATATTATTTCTTGTTTTTCAATAATTATATAATTTTTTTCATAGTTAAATACTGTAAAAGTTATAAACACAATATTTTACAATAATCTCAAATATAACTTAGCACTTATTTTTAATTTAACAGAAATTGAAATTTCATATTTATTCTTAATTTAGATTTAAAGTAATATTAAAATCTGGAAAAAAAGAAAAAAGAAAAAAAGCTTTTAATACTTTCTTACAACTAGGCGGATGGAGGGCAGGAAATGGGGAAGGGGTTGGAGGGTTTAAACATAGCCCGACCGGATGAATTCCGCATGAGATTAATGGCTTAATGACTAAGCCACTACGCTTGTAGTGTGGATTTCGAAGAACAAAGGAAATTTTGAGAGAAAGGAAAATATTACAACTATCTCAATAGAAATATGAACTTTGACATGGATCAAAGTGCTTGATGCACATTGTCAGTTTAGTAATTCCTAAAGGCTTCCAGCCTTATCCGACCACTCCTCATGCTGAACCAACATGTTCGTATTCCTGGCTTTCAACCAAATGAACCCAAAAATTAATGTCTATGAAGGAATTGAAAAAGAAATATCCCCATATCTAGCTTTCTGAATTTACAAGGTCTTCATCTTTGCTATAACTCAGTTCCAAAACATCACTATCTTTTGAATAAGTGTGTGTGCCTTAACAGCCCGGTAATTTGTTTTCCGACAACAAAGGGGAAGGCAAGAAAACCGGCAAAACTGGGGCCCTAGAAGATATTTCTATGGTATCCCCGTTTTGCACAGGATAGAAAACGTGAGAACCATCAACGTAGATCAAACCCTCTTTACCAAACCAAGAAAGATCCATAGACTGATCGGATGTGATTAATCCATGCATTAAACCAGAAACAGCTGCTCCAGGGGAAATGGGCTCTCTTACCATGTATTGGAGGTCCTGAGACAAAATGGGCATTGCGAAACCACCTGCTGAAAGCATGGCAGCTGTGGATCCAGCAGCTGTTGAGACTCTGAGACCACTTGATCGGCAGTTCACTAGGGGAGAACATGGCTGGTCACCTCTTTTAATTCTATCAAAAAGCAAAGTGAAGTTTAGAGAGCACGTAACATCAAAATGCAACATACCAACTCATGCTTCATAAAATCTACTTACTTGAATGAGAACCGAGAAACTGTTGCAGGACAAGGGTGTGCAATCAAGATATCATTAAGAGCATATGTAGACAGCAGTTTCAAATTTATGCATATTGACATCCTCGACAATTTAGAAGGTACAGTTTGGCCCTCTAGGATGCTGTCTAGTATCTGTAAGTAATGCCCAAAATCAATGATTCTGCCAGGAAATTTATTATGTAGGTTAAGAACCTTGTGCTTGCTGTTATTTAAAATAAAAGAGCAAAGCTTAGAGCCGCCAGTTCTGTGCTAAAAGAATAAAAATAAGAGAACATGGTGCAAGAATTAATTGGAACTTTGAAGCAATTTCGTAAAAGAGTGGGTGACCTGGATGACTTTTAGTAGTTCTAATTAAAGTGGTTAAATATCCAGCTAAGGTATGCAAATTGAGTACCTTGTATCAATTATAGCTTTTTGTAACTTTTTATCCCCTTACTCTAGAATTTAAACCGATTACACACAATAATTTTTTTTTTCTTGGTAAAATTGTTCACACAGGGTTGGAACCATCTTTCATGGGTATCATACAGAATTACTCGTTCAAAACTCTTTATATATAAACTGTTCTGATGCAAATTAATTACACTTGGTTAACCTCAAGATTTATCCTTACTTGTTCAAAGTTTTTGACATTTGCTGCACACAAATAGCCAGTGCTTCTAGTAGCATCAAACTCACCACAGTATTCTTGCACCTACACCAAAGAAAATATGAACTGACATCTCCAATTGAGATGTTTCAAGAAATGATTTAGAGAAATTCACAAAATTGTTATGAAGCAAACAAATCTATAACTTTATCCTGATAAATGAACTGACCTCTTCAGCTTGTGTGGGATCAGAATTCACTCCCAAAATAGGGACCGAGTCATCTATTAGATGGCTGGCCTGCAAGAGGGTGCCATCACCACCAACTGTAACAACCAAATCGACATCACGTATTGGTTGTGATAACTTGTTACGAAATATGGGTTCCCAATCAACAGATTTTTTTTGCAGAATTTTCTGACAAAAGCTTATAGCCTCCTTGTGCACCTTAAGCCTATCATCCAGATAATGGAGAATCTGCGACATGTTCTC